CAACCAGTTAAATTGCAATAATAGCGTAAAGTTCTTGATATTGTCAGTGTATATAAGCTAAATTCTTAGAGTCTTAACTTTTACACACTGACAATGTATTGCACTATCAAGTCCAATTGACATGCAATAACATATAGGTGTGAGCTTTTAACAAATTTGATATGGTAACCAATCAAGAAATTAAAATAGAGTTTTTATTGAATTATATTTACAATAGAAAGATATTTATACTTTCAGTCTGTATAACTTAGATGATCCTTATGATAATTACATGATTGGCTTAATGTTGGTGAAGGTAGCAATTGCTTCTACACTTGCAGCTTCAATAGGTGAAAATGGAAACAAACACATAACCAAGCAATATGCTGCCTTAGTACTTGCCCTGATGTGCATCCATCTATGGTGCTGGTTTTGGTTGGTCATGGGGTCCTCTAAGTTGGCTCATTCCAAGCGAAATATTTCCGATGAACATTCGATCAACTGGGCAGAGCATAAGTATGGCTGTGAACTTTGCAGGCTTTCTTGTTCTTTGCTGGTTGGATTGCTGTTATGACCATTTTTATTGTGATGTTTATGCCAGAGACCAAAGGTGTTGCTTTGAATTCCATGCATCAAGTTTGGGAGCAACACAGGTTTTGGGGTACATATGTTAAAGATCAGCCTTAGTCCCACAACGGAGAGAGAGTAAACAAGTTGAATAGATTATACAAAAGTTTTATACTGTTAGATGTTTCCGTGATCTAGAAAGAGGAATTTTATCATAAGTGGATCGTGATAAACACATAATTAAGTAAATAAAACTACTTTTTCTCTAACAGATAAAACTTTATATTTGCAATACGATTAATTGATCAGAATTTTAGGTTAGTGTTTGCTAAGTATTATTCACTTACTATTTCTTTTTATAACTGGTGTACTTCGCGCCTTTGCGGTCATCTCTTGATAACTGCATTATAAGGAAAGTAGTATTCCATTAATTTTATTCGATAGCATTTATGTCATTCATATACAAAGTGCAAGAACAGACTTTGTGCAAAAAAAATGATCATCACGCTCTACTCTTGAACAAGCAATACAAGTTCCAATTACATACCTTGTCAATGGTACGGTTCCACCCGAATTATCAGATTCATTTGGACCTCCAATAAGCTTGGTTCCATCCAAATTATCAAATCCATTTTGGACTGCTAGTCCAAACTAAGTCACAATTTCAAAATTTACTGAAATTCATTTCTCTAATTGTTTGGATAAAAATTGATAAGAATGAACCTTGTGTCTAACTCAACCCCAAAAGCTAGCTTATGAGGTGAGGATTGCTCAAGCCATATAAGGAGACCAATGACCTCAAATCCCTACGATGTGGGACAACTCAACAAAAATACCCCAGCTTAAAAGGTGGCAGATACACGCTTTTTAATATTTTTTCTTTTCTTTTTAAAAGTTTTAATTCTAGCATAATATATTGGAATTTACCTGCGAAGAGTCTTTGAACTCCAGCATAACGTGTATGTAGGAGTTCTAAAATCCAGCATATTATGCTTAATCTTTCTTATATCTTAGATAAAATTATTTTTGTTCAGATTCTATTTGCGCATTAAAAAGTGTAACTATTATGTAATTACTTACAAACACTGCTTATTTTTTAATTATCAATCCGAAATTAGCTAATTAGCGCTACTTTTACCTCCAGAACCCTTGGTGGTTATCTAAGAACTCTAATCAGCAAAAAAAATAATTTTCTTCACAGCTTTGACGAAAAAACAATTAACTTCAATTCAAAGTTCAGAATTTCATAGAATTGTTTTGTAAAGAACACAATTTATACTTGGTTACAGATTCATTGGGTATGAAGAAAATTGGATAAGTCGATCAAGCAAATAAAAGAAAGGAACGAAATCAAACGAAATGCAAGAATTCACAACGATTTACCGAAAAGATAAATTTATATAGCATGTAAAGTTCTTAGTTATTTTTAGATCCAGACAAATCTTTTTTTATTTATTTATGAAGTGGAAGATTTTATCATTACTAGGCAGGATTAATACACAGTAGGTACAACATGACTATCTAAAACACTATAAGGTTCCCAAGCAGTGGCGAAGTCAGGAATTTTCTTAAGGGTGTTCAAACTTAAAAGAAGTGAAGAAAATTCCCCGACAAAGAGTGTTCAATATATATTATATATCTCTAAAACCTAATATTTTACCTATATACGCAGTATAATTTTCCGACGAAGGGTTGTCAATTGACCACCCTTTACATCATGTGCCTTCGCCCCTGTTCCCAAGCATGACCAAATTATTGAAGTAGTAATAAACTTAGTAATAGTAACTCCATTCTTGTCTAAGAGCCAAGTCATTCATATATAAGTGCAAGAAAAGAATTTGTCCATAATTGGAACTAAGAAGATTAATCACTTTTTAATTTTGTTCTTCATTTCATTCCAGAGGCGGTCAGAGGGTGAAGCCGCTAAAACCTCCGCTTTTAGGCTCCAAAATTTTGGGTGTCCCAAATCCAATTTTATTTTTTCAATTCCTACTTGATGTGATCTTTCATTGATCACGCCCAACTATCCCTTATAAAAAGGACTAAACGGTCTTTACAAATATATTCCGGTTAATAAGTCCGGAGTCGAATCCCACAGGGAATTAAACCTATTAAGTACAGCTACTACACTCGCACAAATTCACGGAATCAATCTTCAGAAATATTTGAATAACAAATTAGACGTTTACTACTAAGGATCTAGTTATGAAAAAGCAATAACTAATAACTAACTACGAACAGGTTGTAGACAAAATTTGGAATGGTCTAAGGTTTTGATTTCCCCTATTGTCGAAATCCTTTCCGCTATGTGTTCTATAAATTTGCGTACATTTTCTCTACCGATCATGAGCTCTCTGAGTGTCGTAGTTCTCTCCCGAGTAACTACCACAATTTACTAGACATATTCTTCTGAACTACGCTAGCTGGCACTAAGTTACGGCTCACTCGGATCACACCAAGGTTTCGTTATTCCTAATACTACCTTTAAACCCTCCGTATTGATACCTCATATACGTTTGGAGTGATGTTGTTCAACAACTACCTAAATATGCACTCTCTTCCGGGTAATACATACTAAATAGGCATAGTCGATTGAGAGCTCCTCAACCAAATCACCATATAAACGTAGTTGAACAAATAGAGAAAAAGCTACGGCAAATCTATATTAACATAACGGGAAAATTATCCTCCAATAGGTTCCATCAAAATCCTAGATTAGAAGTTTAGCTACTTTAAATAGTAACAATATCCCAAGTATTTTGCATAAATAAATTACAAAGTAAAGATGAAGGGATGTAGAAATCGATGATTCTATCTCCCAACGGGTGTTGCACGAGCTATTCTTGCCTCCGGTCGCAAAACTCCTTCAAAAATGGTGTTTAATGTCTATTTATATGTGTAGGAAAAGACCTAAACGACATTGCCCAAGTCCTAGTCAGACAAGGAGACGAAACAAGCCTTCAAAATCCGGATCAGGCTCGCCTCAGACCGTGCCTCGCGAGGTAAAACCCGAGATGAACCTCGCCCTAGACCATGCGATGCCTCCCTCCACACGAGCTCAACCTCGCCTTATCCCTCGCGTCGCCTGCTCCCACGCGAGCTCAAAGGCTCACCTCGCCAGCTCTAATACGAGCTCAGTAGCTCGCTTCGCCAGCTTCCTCATTTTTCCGCTGCTCACTTCTTTCTTTCTTCTTTTCAACTATTTTCGAGCACGCTTTAGACTTTAAATATTCCTTTTGCTCTACTTTTATCTCCAATGTACCTACACATAAAATAGACTCCATTACGCATAAATAAAGTGGAGTTTAACATTAACACACATAAAATGTAAGGTAAATAATGTACTAAAATATAGAATTATATCCACACATCAATACCCCACACTTAAACATTGCTCGTCCTCGAACAATCAAACTACACTTATAGACACGACCTTTTTAAGCAATTCCTTTAACTCCTCACACCAAGATTCTTTAAAATATACTAAGCACAAAGGTGTAATATCCTCACCTCAACATTTGACTCACAAATACCATGTATTATTCACAATTCACTTACTTACTCTAACATCACTACTGAAAAATTGGTCTATGGTAACGCATGAAAAACCGTTCCAGTAGGTGGATAAACCGTTGCCGTAGCGATATTGGAACGGTTTACAAACCGTCACATCCGCTCGCGTTCCAATAGAGCTGTAGGAATGGTTCTTGGAACGGTTTTCATATCCGTTGCTATAGAGACGTCTATCGCAACGGTTTTCCTTTTCTCTATTGGAACGATTATTCCTTCCAATTGGGACGGTTTAAAAACGTTACTATAATATGTATGCAACGGCTCATAACCGTTACCATTTTATCTAATGCAACACTTTCGTAAGCTATTGTTACGGTTATTTATGGATATAACAACGGTCTATTTAAGCTATTGCAACGGTTGTTTTTGTATCGCTACAGTTTTAAATACCTATTGGAACGGTTTACTAGATCTATTGGAACGGATTACATTCTAATGGAACGCCATTTTCCACAAGAAATACACTCTATTTGCATTTGGATACCAAATTTAGTAAGTCTATCCACAGTTGCTATCCTTTTATTAATAGCCAAGCATAAATAAAACTTGAACCTAAGGTGTATCTGTGAGTGGATGTGGATACTCTTCCATTCAACTTTACTGAATTGAGGTTGCATCTGGACATATGCTTTGTGTATCTGGAATTTACCTTGCTTCACAAAGTTTCCCAGAATGGTTGCAATACTCTGTTGATCTGTCCTCATCTGCATAACTTCATCTTTTGCATCTATGATCTTCTTGACCACCCATGCTTCTGCTTTGGGTGTGTGAATATCTTCAATTTGTTTCCTCTTTATGTAATAGGTGTGAGCCCATCTTATCCACAGTGCATCCTTTTTCATAGCCAGAGCCCATAGATGTTTTAATAATGTTGCCTTGTTTCATATCCTCATGTTTATCACATTCAATCCACCTGCTGATTTTGGTTGGCATATTTTGTCCCATGCAAGCAATGTTTTCCTGGAGAATTCATTTGAACCAGTCGACAGAAAAGTCCTGCATACAGTCTCTATCATCTTCATGTTCTTCTTTGGGATTAAGAATATTTGAGCCCAATATGTTTGTACACCAAATAGGACTGATTTGATAAGCTGAACTCTTCCTGAATAAGAAAGCATCCTTGCTGACCAGCATCTGACTCTCTCTGTGATCTTCTCAACTAAAGGCAGGCATTGGTGTATGTTTAGCTTCCTTGCAGACAATGGAACTCCCAGATATTTAATGGGGTATACTGCCCTCTGCGTATCCAGTAAGTTTGATCAGATCTTCTTTGATATGTTGTGCTACCCCTGCAATATAGATTGAGCTCTTTTCTGCACTTGCTTGCAATCCTGATGCGTTTGAGAACTTATTTAAAGTGTTCTGCAATGCATTTACTGATTGTTTGTCACCCCTGCAAAACATTAACAGATCGTTAGCAAAGCATATGTGTGTCACTCCAAGCTTCTTGCATTTTGGGTGGTATCTGAATTCCTTCTGCACAGCCAATGTACTCATCTCCCTCTGCAAATACTACATAGCAATCACAAATAGGTAAGGAGACATTGGATCTCCTTGTCTGATACCTCTCTTAGTAAGGAAAGGTTTAGTAAGTCCTCCATTCAGTGCTAAGGAATAAGATACTGTTGTCACACACTCCATGATCCACCCAATAAATTTCTGTGGAAATCCAAGATCTGTGAGCATATATATTAACAATTTCCAATCCAATGAATCATATGCCTTTTTTAAATCTTCCTTGAGAATACATCTTGGTGATAGACCTTTCCTGTTGTAACCATTAAACAGCTCATGGCTAAACAGAACATTATCCACAATGCTCCCCCCTTCTATGAATGCAGATTGTGCTTTCCCAATTAAGCACTCAATTACCTTCTTGATCCTTTTAGTCATTATTTTTGCTATAATCTTGTAGACTGTAGCGCAGCAGGCAATAGGTCTATAATCCTTAATAATTGTGGGAGTTGTACCTTTGGGAATCAATGTTATTGTTGTACAATTCCATGCTTTCTTCATCTTACTTGTTGGAAAAAGCACCCCACAGCTTCATAGACCTCTTGTTTCACTTCATTCCAGTGTATTTTAAAAAACTCTACTGGGAAACCACACACACCGGGTGCCCTGTCATTTGGCATGTCTTTCACTGCTGCATCAACTTCTTCATGAGTGACTTCCTGAATTAGCTCTTGTTGCTGTTGCAATGATAGGCACACACCTGCTTTAATAATTTTTGTACTAGGACATGGTTTGATCAGACAAGAAGGGTTGCTCTGATGGTAAGCAACCCTCACTTCCAACCAAAAGGTTGTGAGTTCGAGTTTTCCCAAGAGCAAGGTGGGAAGTTCTTGGAGGGAAGGATGCCGGGGGTCTATTTGGAAACAGCCTCTCTACCCCAGGGTAGGGGTAAGGTCTTCGTACACACTACCCTCCCCAGACCCCACTAAGTAGGATTATACTGGGTTGTTGTTGTTGTTGTTGACATGGTTTGATCCCAGTATCAGTTCCCATTAATTTCTTAAAAAAAGTAACAAATTCTCTTTCCACTTCTGTAGGGTCTGTGACTCTAATTCCCTCTGCATTATATGCAGAAGTTATTGCATTCCTGCTTGCCCTCATCTTCAGTTGGGCATAGAAGTTTTTGGAGTTTGAATCTCCATAATCTATCCAATTTACTCTTGACTTCTGCCTCGGAATTCTTTCTTCTATTGTACTCCATTTCTCTAGTTCCGGAAGTACCTGCTTTTCCTTTTCTATCATTTCTTGATTTAAAGGACTGATCTTCAGATTATTCTGCACATGCTCTAGTTGTTGCCTGATGTGGTTCAATCTTTTTTCATAGCTTGTCATCTCCTTGTTCAATCCCTTAGTTACAGTCTTCAATTTCTGTAATTTTGCCATATACTATCCATAGGATCACTTCCTATCTTATGCCTCCATATGTCTTCTAGCATAGGCTTAAACTCCTTGTGCTCCATTGTTACCATATACAGCTTGAAAGGTTTAGGATATATATTCTTCGTCTTCCATATTTGGATCACTATAGGAGAGTGATCTGATACCCCAGGTTCCAGACCAACAACATCCACATGTCCATATTTTTTGATCCATTCAAAGTTGCCAAAGGCCCAATCTATTCTACTATACACTCTATCATCTGCATACTGTTTATTGCACCAGGTATAGAAACAACCTTTTGTGTTCAATGGGGTCAATTGTATGGAGTCAATACAATGCTTGAACTCTTTTATCTCATTCATAGTAACTGGTTGTCCCATCCTATCCTCAGTTTTGAGAACACTATTAAAGTCCCCACTTATGAGCCATGGGATTTGAACCTGATTTCCCATCATTTGCAGTTCATACCATAACCTTGTTCTCTCATGTTGCTTGTTTCTAGCATACACTACTGTTAGCATAATATGGTACCCAGTCAGTGTATCACTCACTACACAATGAATGCATTGCTCATGAACTTGAACTACATTGACTGCTATATTTGTCTTCCACATCAACCAGATTCTACCATTTTCCGCTTTTGTATAATTTCAACAATATCCCCAGTCTCTTGCTACTCTGTACAGTATTGTTTTTGCCTTTTTTTCGTTTACTCTAGTTTCTAGACATCCTAACATATCCACCTTATTCTTCTGCAAAAAGATTTTCAATTCTTTTTTCTTGTGGGGATTATTTAGCCCCCTTATATTCCATGTACTAATGATCATGGGGGGTGTTGTGTAAGATCAGGATCCAGACCCCCTCCCTGTGCAGCTGTTTGTCTCAATTCACCTAGTACTTGGAATCTGTTTGCATTGGTTGTTTCTGCATATCTGCCCTGCTTATCTAGAGAGGGGTGTTGTTCCCCTTTGTCTGCATTATTTTGTACCTTCTTGCCTTTCTGAACTGCACCACCTTCATGTGACACCTTGTCTTCTTCTGTAGGGTGCTGCACTTCCTTCTTTTCTTCCTTCTTCTCTTCCTTATCTTGTTGTTCTTTTGGTTTCCATTCCTGTATGATTCTTCTTCTTCTTCTGCCCCTATTCCTCCTCTTAGGAACTTGGAATTCTTCATTTTCCTCATTCTTACTTAACTTCCAGCATTCAAAGACATCATGTCCAAGGTGTAGACATTCAGTACAGAATTTTGGCTTCCATTCATAGACAATTTCCTGCTATTTTACACTCGTAGGAGTTATAATTTCAACAGTCTCAACCAATGGTTTTGTTATATCAACTTTATGACTCTTGCATAAGAGATTTTCCCTAGTTTAGCAGTATATTTGTCTGTGTACATTGGCATCCCTACTCCACTTGCTACCTTACTCAGAGCATCTGCAGTCCAATATCCTACTGATAAGCTAGGAATTTGGATCCAAAGTGGAATAGTTGTGATACACTTAGGGTCAAAATGGAAATCTCTCTCCCAATTCTGTAATATCAGTGGCTTATTATTGTATTTATATGGCCCTACTTGGATTACTGCTTCCTTATCTTTCACATTTGTAAATCGAAACACATAATATCCATTATGATGATATAGAATTTGAGGTTTATCTACAAAATCCCACTCTGATTCTATATAGCTCACCATAGATTTCTCATATGGTGTATCCCCCAAAACATACCCAATTAAAGAAGTATCCCAGTATTCTTTTAGATCGTTTACATCTTCTTCCTCTATCTGAATTATCACCTTACCGTCTGTGTGGCTAGGTGGTACATATTCCAGCTTCATCCCCATTTGAGAATTCCTGTTCTGCTTCCTCATCTCCTTTGCATGCATCATTGTATCCTTTTCCATTTCCGCAGCTCCCAGATCTGGATCTGGAGTTTGCTTTGAAGACCCATCTTCTGAAAATTGGAGTCTCTTTGGCCTCGTTGGTAGCTGCTCTTTGCCTTTCTGCACTATAATCTCTGTACTCCCATTATGATTGTTCCATTATTTACTGTTCATTTCTTCATTTTCACTTAGCTCGCTTTCCTCAGGAATTGGTTGGAAACCAGCTGGTAGGAAGCTTCCAAAGGTTAATGGAGTTATGGTTTGCATCATAGAGTTCATCGGCGTAGTCACGCCGGTCACCAGTGCTGCTTGTTTGCATCTCCTAGCCATCAGAGGTGCACATTAGCTTGCCTTGGCTTATCGTGCGCCGAGAGAATTAGAGAGCGAAAAGAAAGACACCTACAAACACATTGTTACAATGAAGAGCAACCCCAAAATTCATATCCAATGACATGCAATCACCCAACTCAAAATTACCAAAGAATGCAGGTAGAAATCATACCTTCGATGTTTAAGACGAGGGATTTCCCTTGAATTGCTGTTGCACGTGAAGGATAGAGCAGAAGAGTGCTTGTCTTCAAAACTGAGCTGGTACTGTTCCATTGCTCGTTTGTTGACTAGACACCTGTGTAGTTTGAGACTGTTAACTGAAAAGGGGCAGCATTTGCCTTTCCCTTTGGCTTGAAATCTGGAGGATAACCCACAATTTTGTAGCATTTGTCGTTCAAGTGTCCTGTTTTATTACAAAAATCACACTTCATTAGTTTATAGCAGTCTTTTCGAGTATGTCCTTTTAAGTGACAAAAGTCACACTCCAAACTATTATTTCTCCTTTGCTTGATTCCTGATTGTGCAGTGAATAGAGCAGTAGGCTCAATGTTCCCTGCATTTCCATAACTGGCACCAGTAATCATCCTCCTACTTTCGTCTTGAACTACCATGGCATATGCTTTGTTGATAGACGGTAAGGTAGGCATTAAGAGGATCTAACTTCTAGCTTGTTCAAAGGTATCACTTAATCCCACGAGAAACTACAACAGACGTTGGTACTCCAGCAGAAACAGAACAAATTCCTTGAGTCATAGTAAAAATCTCCTTGTGCAAATAGTACAATCTCGATCCATTTACTTTATCAAAACGCTCCTTGAATGCAGCCCACACTGTACAAGCATTAGACGAAAAAAGTACTCCAGTTACTAAATCCTTACTAACATTGCTCATCAACCATGAAGTCACAATCGCATTGCATCGATCCCACTGGTGTGCTAGCCTAGATCCAAAATCCTCTTTTGAGGTCGATCCATCGATGAGATACAGTTTATTTTTTCCTAACAAAGCTACCTTCATAGCTCGACTCCAGAGAGTGTAATTCTCCATTCCAGTTAGTATAAGCCCTATCGACAAGGATCCAGGTCCATCAGAAGGATGTAGATATAACGGATGATTATGATCGAGAATCGTTGATCCTCCACCTGAATTGACTCCGTCGTTAATAGTACGACTCGATTCTTCAGAGACCGCCATGAATTAGGTCAAATCAAGTGCTAAAAATTGCAATTTGCTGAAAAATTAGGGTTCCAACGAATGTAGAAATGAGTGAATTCCTTCGAATTTTCCTTAATTGCTCGAAAATTCCTTAGAATTACCCGATTAACTGCTCTGATACCATATTAAATTCTTATGATTGAATTGATGATGTGATCTAAAATAGAAAGAAAAGAGAAAGCAGCTTGAGAGAAGAAGAATTTACTTCTTCGATATATCTGAAATGAACAATGTACAGTACATATAACTACTTCTAACGAAATACTGCCAACTCATGTACAGTTGTACAAGTATTAACTAATGAACTAACTACAATTACACTAATCTAACTATAATTAAGTTAAGAGCACATGTGCTAAGGCACTGCCTGCATGGACACCTCCTTTAGACTTTCCCTTCTAGGCATTTAAATTCGTCTTTCCATGACTTTTCTTCTTCCTTACGAAAGTTGACATTTAATCAAAAGTGACCTTAGGGGAAAAACCACTTTGTCAGAAAGAACTAATACCAGATTTAATTTCAAAAATTAGTCTCCCGCATATAGGTAATTAAAACAGTATATTCCCCTCTGCAAGAGCTCATATTTTCTTGCTTTCGGATATGTAAACTTCTGAGTGAACATTAACCAAGCAAAAACAACAGCTTTATACCACATTAATATCATATCCAGACTTAAACTCATTTGTGCATCAATTTCCAGACAAATAAGTCAAAATTAACACATTAAACCATATCCAATGTTACAATATACAAATTCTTACTTTTTACAGGAAAAATGAGTGATCAGCAATTTCTGTATATACATTAATTTCAGAAAAAAGCTGAAAAATAAACGCATATATACAAGTCAATAATTGCTTACTTATTAATTGACTTAGTATCCAGATTGGACAAGAAGCCAGTATATTCTCGATTTTCCGCAACGAAAGCCACGTCCTCATCTGATACTTCAACTACCTCATCAAGAATTTCAGGTGCAGCTCCGGCGGTAGCACAATCTTTTGCTTTTTCATACCCATTACTAATGGTCTCTGAAAGAGAAAAAAATATTAATAATATACGACCTATGAGCTTCACTAAGCATGAAAAAAAAGTACAGGTTAGTAGCTGTGAGCACCCACAGCGTGACTCAAGAAAGACTTTTGTACTTAATCAGTTAAATTTAAATAAAATTGATATTTGCTAAAACGAAAATTAGAACACATTCACAAATTAGAGACAGACTTGGGATAATTATGCAGAGAGGAAGAAGAACATACGCTTTAATTTGAGTTTCTTTAATAAAGAGAGAAAGAGCAGAGTGTGGTGCGTGCAGAAAGAAAATGGGGAGGAGGGAAGCGGCTGAGTGTGGGAATTAATTTGAGGTCTCAATCTGAATTAGATTGGACGCAGGTTTGGGTTTGGGTTTGGGTTTGGGTCTAGTGTTTATTTCGGCCTAGTTAAAAGGAATGTAGGCTTCACTGAACGTTGATCCATTCAAATAGTAGAGTCCAAATTGAAAAAAATGGTTGGTGTAGCCACTTTTAGGCCCTGTTATTAGAGTTAAGTTGCATTTTCAACTGCATGGCTACCGGTCCGACTAAATTAATTTTTTTCCTCCAATTAAAATACATAATACAACTATAGCAATCAATATTGGAACTCGCAAGTACCAAGAATGATTCCTAGCATTTGCTAGTGTAAAATTCAAGAACGATTCCCGGAGTTCAAAACAAGGTATCTAACATAATATGAAAGGATTCAAACCTCAGTAATCGTTACTAGTTTGAACCTATAAAGGTTTGAACCCATAATTGTGTAATTGTTGCTGAGATTTGAACCTAAAAAGAATATTTCACCATAGTACCTCTTTCGAACTCAAGGATAATATCCTAGAGTTTGAACTTGTAGAGTCCAAAATCCATAATTGTGTCCTGGAGTTCATAATAAGGTATTATTTCTGGGGTTCGAACATATAAATATTTGAATTCCAGTACCGTATATTTTGGATTTCACCTGTTGAGAGTTTTCGGACTCCAGTGTATTATGCTGAAGTATTCTGGATTTCACTTGTAGAGAGTTTTCGGTCTCCAGTGTATTATGCTGAAGTTTTGTAGAATATTTGAAATCTAATAACAATTAATGAAATTGCTCAGTGTGATAGATGTGTTGATACCCAATTTTTTTCTAAGTATTTTTATATTCAAAA